ATATGGGTGTAACTCAACAATACCGGCATTGTGGGTTCAATGCGAAAATTGTTATGGATTAAATTATAAGAAATTTTTTTAAATCAAAGATGCATCTTTGTGAACAATGTGGATATCATTTGAAAATGAGTAGTTCAGATAGAATCGAACTTTTGATCGATCCGGGCACTTGGGAGCCTATGGATGAAGACATGGTCTCTCGGATCCCATTGAATTTCATTCGGAGGAGGAGCCTTATAAAAATCGTATCGATTCTTATCAAGAGAATACAGGATTAACGAGGCTGTTCAACAGGCAGAGGCAACTAAACGGTATTACCGTAGCAATTGGGGTTATGGATTTTCAGTTTATGGGAGGTAGTATGGGATCCGTAGTCGGGGAGAAAATTACCCGTTTGATTGAATACGCTACTAAAGAATTTCTACCTCTTATTATAGTGTGTGCTTCCGGAGGGGCACGCATGCAAGAAGGAAGTTTGAGCTTGATGCAAATGGCTAAAATATCTTCTGCTTTATATGATTATCAATCAAATAAAAAGTTATTCTATGTACCAATCTTACATCTCCTACTACCGGGGGGGTGACAGCTAGTTTTGGTATGTTGGGGGATATCATTATTGCCGAACCCAATGCCTACATTGCCTTTGCGGGTAAAAGAGTAATTGAACAAACATTGAATAAAACAGTACCCGAGGGTTCACAAGCGGCCGAGTATTTATTCCAGAAAGGCTTATTCGATCTAATCGTACCACGTAATCCTTTAAAAAGCGTTCTGAGTGAGTTATTTCAAAACTACACATTCTTCCTTTGAATCAAAATTAGAACATAAGTTCAATTATTTGAGCAAACAAGTAATTAGTTTATCGGAATCCAAGTTAAAATTAGACGAATGGGGTTTTCTTGTTGGCATAAGATCTAATTATATAAAGAATAAAAAGTCACAGAAAAATCCGCCCCTTTTTCTATATTCCTGATTATTATCAAGAAGCCTCTATTAACAAGATAAAAGATGAATTCTTATTTCGTGAAATTAGGCAAATCAAAAAAATATACTCTTCTCGTCATATATAATGAAAAATCTATAAAATATAGAATTTTTTCTTTTTTTTATCTTTACGATAATCCTATTTTGACTAAGAATCCCTGATGGATGGGATTCAAACAAACCCTTCAATATATTCAATATAAATAGAATCTAATTAATTTTTAAGAAACTTTTTGCTTAGTAAATGAAATTCGAAGACAAGAGCAAAAATGAAGAAAATAATATCTCATCCATATCCTTTCAAATCTTTCATGTAGAAAGATCAAAAACTACATTATATACTCACTTAGATAGATACTTATATTTATACTTAATAGCTATTAAGTAATAATAATAATTCCAATTTAGAATTATCACATTATAATAAGATATCTTTATATATAATAAGATATCTTTATATTATAAATATAAAATATAAATAATAATAACAGGTACAAATAGTAAATCGAGGTAGCCATTCTATGACAACTCTTAACTTTCCCTCTGTTTTGGTGCCTTTAGTAGGCCTAGTATTTCCGGCAATCGCAATGGCTTCTTTATTTCTTCATGTTCAAAAAAACAAGATTGTTTAGAGCCGATGGCACAAAATCTCATCTATTTTTTTTTTCAAAACTGACGCTTGTATCATAACACAGATATCTATTTAGCAAAATATGGTATAAGCGGCTTCCTCCGAAAAACTCTTATGTCTCCAGAAAATGCTATAGGGATCAATGGATTCTAGCTATTTTCAAATAGACCTGAATTGACGGATAGCTGAACTGTAAAGTTGGTCTATCTATTTGGCTATCTTTAGTGAGATCGTACGAAGGGTATGTTATTAGTTTAGATCTAACGAATTTAATGAATTACTCCTAAAGGATCACATCAAACTAGTGCTAGTTGATGCGAGTTACTTCGGAAAAAAAAGGACTAAGTCAAATTCATTTGGGGTATTCTCTCAATTCCAAAAAAATCAACTGGATCAAGTATGAGTTGTCGATCAGAACATATATGGATAGAACCTATAACGGGGGCTCGAAAAACAAGTAATTTCTGCTGGGCTGTTATCCTTTTTTTAGGTTCATTAGGATTCTTGTTGGTTGGAACCTCGAGTTATCTTGGTAGAAATTTGATATCTTTATTTCCGTCTCAGGAAATAGTTTTTTTTCACAAGGAATTGTGATGTCTTTCTACGGAATCGCGGGTCTTTTTATTAGCTCCTATTTATGGTGCACAATTTCGTGGAATGTAGGTAGTGGTTATGATCGATTTGATAGAAAGACGGAATAGTGTGTATCTTTCGTTGGGGATTTCCTGGAAAAAATCGTCGGGTCTTCCTCCAATTTCTTATAAAAGATATTCAGTCTGTCAGAATAGAAGTGAAAGAAGGTATTTATGCTCGTCGTGTCCTTTATATGGATATCAGAGGCCAGGGAGCCATTCCATTGACTCGTACTGATGAGAATTTTACTCCACGGGAAATGGAACAAAAAGCTGCTGAATTGGCCTATTTCTTGCATGTACCAATTGAAGTATTTTAAGAAATGAGCCGGAATGCTTTCTCAGCAGGAGGGCAAAAAACGCAAGAATGCTCTTTTTCCATAACATAACTTAATTGAGGTTTCTTCAGAACATTCATTCGAGTCAAAGCAGACATATATGGAACAAGTATAAAAAAAACTAATTTGGGGATCTTTTAGATGTACCGATTTAGATGTATCGAAATATACATAACTCAATTCAATAAAAAATAAGAACAAATCGAAATATCTCATAATCAACCATTTAGAAATAAGGAAATTCCACCCTTTTTAACTTGTTGGAATTGAGACTTTAGAGATCATATCTTGTAATTTTTTCGAAGCTTATTTTTATACTTTTTGTGCTCCTTAATGACCAAAAATTGAATCTCTTATAATGATAATTAGCAAATTTATGTCTGTTTTTGCCACTCATTTTTCACAATATTCTTCAGAAATTTCCCACAATTATTCTATCCCTGACTACTCATAGTAAGTTCAATTTTTTCGAAATATAGAGATTTTTATATAATGATAGAAAAGGAGTTCTTTCGTCTCAAAATCTGAATAATATTATTCATTATTTCAATTTTTCTAGGCATTCATCGAAAGGAATATGTGCTTCGATTTGACCAATTGAGATATAGGTAAAACATTATTTTTTGATTATTTATCCATTCCAATTTTTCGTCTATTTCTGTATTTTTTTTCTAAATTCATAGGTTCGATAACTTGTAATAGAACTGATGCGGGAGAGAAATATTAGATTACATAGAGTCGACGAATGAGATAGGTTCATTAACAATTCAGACATGAAAAATGGAAAAAAAGAAAGCATTCACTCCTCTTTTATATCTTGCATCTATAGTATTTTTGCCCTGGTGGATTTCTCTCTCATTTCAAAAAGTATGGAATCCTGGGTTACTAATCGGTGGAATACTAGGCAATCCGAACCTTTTTTGAATGATATTGAAGAAAAGAGTATTCTAGAAAATTCATAGAATTAGAGGAACTCCTCTTCTTAGAGGAAATGATTAAGGAATACTCGGAGACACATCTACAAAACCTTCGTATAGGAATTCACAAAGAAACAATCCAATTAATCAAGATACACAACGAGGGTCGTATTCATACGATTTTGCACTTCTCGACAAATATAATCTGTTTCATTATTCTAAGTGGT